TTTATTATTGTCTCTTTATTTTAATCAAATTGTCTTGCATAAAAAAAAATATTTCGAATCCTATTTAACCTTCATGTAATGTTAAGAAACATTAATAATCAAAATTATTTTTAAAAAATAAATTTTACTATTAATCAAAGTTAATAACATATTTGACTTTGGAAGATAAGCATAATTAATCATAATTCTTAAAGTTATTATCTCTTAATTAAAGTAATGAGTTTTTTAAAACTTTTGGAATTTATTTGTACTGTACATACAGTATTAATTTAATTATTTTGTAAGAAGATTCTTGTTATTATTTTGTATTTCAATAATAAACATTTTAAATTTTAATGTTATGAAAAGTATAACTATTTTTAAATTTCATAATGCAGACTAATGATTTTCATGACTTTTTCAGAAATATAAGCTTTCAACTGAACATATTTCATAAACAATACATTTTTTGAAATAAAGTATGTAAATCAATCAATCAGCAATTTATATTTATCATGTAAGTTATAACAAATATTGCTGAAGTTTAATCTGCCCTTTTGTTTTATTTTTGCTTTACAATTATTTTAAACATTATTAAACATTTTCTCACACATTGAGAGATTTGAATTTCATTTTACATTTATTATTCTATCATTAATTCTACTGTTTTGATATTGACTTTAATAATTATGTTAATTATAGTTATAGACAGATGGATAAAGTCTAGTAGTAAAACACTATTATTAAAATTATTTAAAGAATCAAAATTCTTCTGAAGTGACATTAATTTGTTGCTTTTTGAATTCCTGTTGTGCATTTTAATAATATATCTTTCACTATTCAATTTTATTTTTAATTCTTTGAGATATAACATTGGACAGGTAGTCTGAGTCATGATTTATAATTGTTACTTTTATATGAAAAGATTCTGATAAAATTTTTGTAGATTCATTTGAGATGAAGAAATAGAAATTTTATCAAAATTTGTTATGTGAAGGTAACAATTATATATTATCTAATGTTATAAAGCTAAAGTTTAGTGGTGAATTTGCAGATTTTGCAGTATTTGGTCCAACATATAATAAAATAATCAATGAAAAATAGAATTTGACCTCCACAAATTTCCTCTAATTCCTTTTTTCAGAGTATAAAATAAATGAACTAATTAATTAAATCAATATTAAATGATAAATTTAATAAATAATTATTTCAATATATTTATCAACAACATAATGCAATAATTACTTTATTTCAACAATTTTACAATAAACATACATAGAATTTTTCATCACAAAAATAATAAGTGCACTTCATATGAAAAAAAAAATATATATATAATCTTTAATATTATTCAATATATTCAAAATTTATTTACATTTATAATTTAAATGCACATATCTTATTTTCTTACTTAATCCATTACAATCCTTAACATTTTATAATTAAGGTCAATTATTATTTTTCAAATTCACCTTTAAAACAAACAACATTTTTATCTGTTTCATGTATTGTTACAGAGTATAACATATCAGATGAAATATATTTGGATAAAGAATTCCAAATATATACTGCTAAATTCTCTGTTGTGCTGAAAAGAAAAATATAAACACTTATGAGAATAAAATTACCCATATAATTGATAAGAGTGATATTTTAATTCAAGATTCACCAACAATTTTTCCATTAACAAATGAAACAGCAAAAAATGTGTTTTATACAGATATTAATGTTTAACATGTTATAAATTTAAGGGGCTGTCCATAAATTATGTCCACATTTTTCTTGAATTTTTATTCTTCCTCCCCTCCCCCTCGTCCCAGTTTGCCCAAGTTTCTGTAACCCCCTCTTTAGATGTCCAACAAAACTCAACCCCCCTTAAACCTCTATCACTTTATGAATGATAGATATCATAAGTAGAAACAACACTTACAAGAAATTTGAAATAAATATTATGCACTTTTGCACAAGCTCATATGGTGTGAAAATGATCTTTATGGAAAAGACCAGGCACTTCTAAGGGATATCAACAATAGGATAATAGATTTATCTTGCTCAGTTGAAAGGAATTTAAAACGCAAATATGTTAAGAAGCTTAAATGGTTGTTTAAATGCCATAACGTGAGGCTGCGCACAAAACAGACTGCAGTTATAACAGCTTGGGATGATATTACGCCACCACATTACTTGTTAGAGACTTTAAGATACGGCCCACTCTACGCTCCTAATCCCGCAGCAAGCCCAAAAAGCGTCATTCCTAATATTGAGCTTATTGTAAAGGGTATGGATTCCACGAGTCAGGATTACATCAGATGGCAAACAAGATTTTGTACTGAAAGGGAAAAAAAATAGATAACGTGAATACAAGACAGTTCCACTACTGCATAAAAGAAGCAAGAGAATGGCTGCAAAGAAAGGATATAGTGCTTATGAATTTTTGATACACCAAAAATTTTTGCTTTTGGGAAAACACATAAACTAGGCTTTCAGCTATGCCCAGTTATAGAAAAATGCAATTCGCCTACTTTCACTATTGAAAAGCAACTGGTCAAGTTTATACGAAATAAGGCTAAGGCGTACCCTTCTCCATAAAAAGTTCAGTACAACTAGTGCAGAAGCTGAGGGAGGTTGTGCTTAAGGACAAGGAATATATGACAGTAATGGATTACAAAGCATTATACCTTCATTAAAATTAGCACCCTGTTTTTGTGCCTTGAGGGACTTCCTATTTACCAACATAAAAAATGCTAGGAAATACCACAAGCACATTTTAGAACTAGCCGATTTGGTTTGTCATTCGTCGTTTTTCATTTTTGAAGGGAAGACATATCTTCAAGGAAGGGGCATCCCTATGGGCAGCCTAATGTCGGCTGTCCTATGTGAATTAGTGTTACGTCAGCTCAAAAGAAGTATCCTACCCATCTTTAGTGGCGATATAGTAATATACTCCAGATATGTCGATGACATTTTCGTTGTATGGAGAAATGATGGCAATGCACAGAATTTTATAGACAAGGCCAACAATAACCCATATGGGTTGACTTTGGGTTTGGATCAAGAAAGCAAGAAGAATGTTAACTTCCTGGATATATCAATCGCATGTAAAGAAGGGGAAATATGGACAAGTGCATATTGCAAACCGATTTATCAACCTATTATCATCCCAAAGAATTCTACGGATACTAAGCACATTAAATATGTGGCATTTAGAGCGTGGATTAAAAGAGCATACACCCACTGCACGAGTTTATATGATACATATGAGGAATTAGATTACATACAAAAATCAGCGGCACAACAGGGGTACCGTAGAAGTGAGATTGAGGCACTTATTAAAAGGCTACAGAAACAAAACCAACAACCTCCCAAAACTGATCAAAGGAAAAATGTCGTACTTAATTATTTTCTGTTTCTTAACAAAATTATTAGGAAAGTTGCCAACAAAAATAATCTATGAATAATATATCGGCGCAATCCAACTGTGTATAGAATGTTAAGGGAATGATAAGAAGAAAGATAATCGAAATAGCTTGATGGGGGTATATTCTATACCTATAAAGGATCATCATTTTAATTCTGACCTCGTGTACATTGGAGCAATGATGCGGAGCTTAAAGGATAAATGAGCATAAATATTCTGTGAGTAGGAACATCAATAGTACTGTTCTGGCAGTATTTGCCAAACAACACGATATAACTGTATACTGGGATCGTGTGACAATCATTAGGGCCACAAGATCTTTACAGGCAGTGAGGCATCTTGAAAAAATAGAAATACATAAAGCGCATATAACCTCGGAATGTATTAATCACAGAGATGCAGAGGGATTGGCCTCTGCTTGGAAGTCATTTTATAATAACGCAGGTTAATATATATATATATCCACGATGATGGCACTGTTATTTATTTAGGTTTATTTGTTTACTTTAGTATTTTATGTTTTTGTAATATGAATAACCAACAAAGGTTTTTCCGTTGCTCTGCACAAACATAGTTTAATTTTATTTAATTTTGTATTACATAGTTTCGAATACTTTGTTCTTTTTAATATTGGAATAACTGATGATGGCCGCTAAAATTGGTCAAAAATGTTCTTAGAGAATTAAATGTTTTTGCTGGACTGTTATAAAGGCGTTATTTATTTATATTATTGTGTTTTAGTTCCAGTAAGATTTTTTTTAAAATGAATATAATTGTGAGTTAGCCAGGGGTACAGATCCGTAGAATTTGTACCACTTAATTGGCACAGATTAAGTGAAATCTGTTCTCAGGAGTTCACGGATCAGGAGATCCGGTCTCTAGACAAAGGATGGCCTTAAGGGCGTTTAAAAGGGATCCAAATTTTGAGATTCAGATCCACGTCAGGATGATGACACCAGTTAATCGAATTTATAACCCACAGATTAACACGTGTATTGAATAGCTATGGAGATGATGAAATATTTTAATTCAGACATTCTAGACCAGTGATTCTCAAACTTTTTCGATCCACCGCCCCCTTTGTTCCATAAAGTTATACCCAACGCCCCCTAACCCATTTTCTCTTGTGTGAGAAAAGGATTGGAAATATTCTTAGGAAAACTTTTCTATGAATCTCACACTTTGTGCCCTTACTGTACATTGTTCTCATCATCTGGAAACCATTAAATGCAATGTTTCCTCTTATCAGCCCCAATTTTGCCTTTGGTCACCGTTCAATACCCTGCCTCTATCATAGATCTATTCATCGCGCCAGAAGGGAGTGTTATTGCTTACTTTGAGAAACGCTGAGCTAAAATAAAAGTCAATGTGTTAGAAATATTCAAGTTGTGACCTTCAATAAAAAATAAAAAATATATAAAATGTCAACATTTTATATATATTCCGTCGAATTTTTATATATAGAATTTGTCTGCTGTCGCCCCTCTATATTTCCTTAACGCCCCCCAATTCTCTTTGAGCCTTCTACTGCCCCCCTGAAAGCCTCCAGCGCCCACAAGGGGGCGTTATCGCCCACTTTGAGAAACGCTGTTCTAGACCTTACTTTAATATAAAATATCAAAAATTTAATAAACAAGAAATAAATTACAAAATCGAATTCTCAAACTATAATTATGGAATGTCTCAGAGAGAGAGATTACAACTTCAATTAAAACCATACTACTTCAAAATATGTTTTTCTTCTTCTATATTTTAGGTTCTGGGTGAATGTTCTTGTTCTTGGTTAGTTCTTTGACAGCACATAAATAAACATTTTCTTCTATTTAAAAACTTATTAACAAACCTTATATGAACTATGGGAGTCGAATATGGGCATTGGGCATTGGCTGTAGGGAGTTTATATGGAATACGTCTGTCCTCCTTGGGATCTTCTGGCATACTTCCTGAATGATACTAAAGAATCCCCTTTTTTTGATGTTTTTCTGCAATCAGAGAATTGTATTATTCCCATGTGTTTAGGATGAGTGGGGGTTTACAAAGGGGTAATTGGACTGTATGTGACTCAAAATTTATGAAGATAAGGGAAAACAAAAAGGATATCGAACTTCCATTGAGAAGGAAGTGACTTTTACCAGTTTCCTTCGTTTTTAACATTAAAACTTTTCATTTTAAAATCAGAAATGTTACTTCTAAAAATTTATGTATTTGACATCAATTTTCAATTAATTGGGGGGTGTGTCCAGAATCTCACATAATAAAATGCATAAACTGTACAAAATATAATGAAATAAACAGATGCCCACTGATGCTCAACCTTCTCCTCCCCCCTTGTCTTACTTGTAATCCCCTTCCTCTCTTCCAGTGTGGACATCATTTACGGACAACCTCTAAGGCAAGACTGTGCAAACCCAGTCTTGCACACTCCTAACCAGCCAACTCATTCAGTGCGGGCCACTTTGTGGCCTGCACAAAGTTGGCCAACACATTTGAATTTGCCCGCCCACAGTAGTAGATGGCTGTCACTATGCAAAATGTCGTGCTACCAATAATGCCAACCACCACATGATTGGTCAATTGGTTGAACACAGAATAAACTCTGACTTGAGTCACCACCACACCGCTGTTAATACCTAACCCATGCGTTTATTACTTGTTCTATTAGTTTTGAGTCAACTTTTGTGTATTAAAATTAAATTGTTGTCACCAAATATTGAAAAATTATTAGCTAATAAGTCCCTTCATAGGTCTCATTCATGTATTTTTTATTACGTATTATTAAAACATGTGCAACTTAAAGCTTTGTTTGATTCAAATACCTATCCATTTATAGAAGGATCATGAGTGTAAGCAAATATGATTCACTAGGTGGCCCACTGGCTGACATGTAATTGAAATTATAGCTTGCCTCCAAAATGAATTGGGCAGCCCTGCTCTAAGGGATAGCAGAAGTCATTGAGATGAACATATTTTTATGAAGCAACCTAGAGTTGGAATTCAAAATTTGCATGTAATTGTGTGGTAGGCAATATCACCATGCCTCTTCACATCCCTGAGGAAGAAGAGATAAGGGCCAAAGCACTAGATATTTCCTCCCAATTTCTTGATGCATGAAGACATTATTCAAATACTTATGCACTAAGAGAAACAAGTTGTCTGTAGCACCATTGTGTTAGAACTACCATATTTTACGGAGTATGAGATGCACCTTAATTTTTAAGCAATTTTTTAAAAAAATAACATTTTTACTATTTTTACCGCCTAAATTCAATCCTTTTATACAGATTGAAGCAAACACTGATCCACAAATCAACGCTTAGTAGCGCTATCGGATGTCCACTGATCGTACGATGGTCGCACGATGATCACTGGCCAATCCATGGTCGTGGATTCAGAACCACTGGTCATCTCGTGATCAGAGTTTCTATGGCGACAACCGTTGCTTGTTTGAAAAGAGAAAAAGCGTGGGAATCGTACATCCAGACGATTCTATCCCAACACCCCACAACTCATGTTCATCGCATTGGTGCACTGCTGCTGCCAGTTGAATTCAATGTTGCCAGATAGAGATAGGTTTCCCACAGCATCAAATATATGGCCATTTTTAAGATGCAGGAATTTTAAATCAAACACTGGACATTTGTATATTAATTTCAAGTATAAGACGCACCTGGATTTTGGAGGCAACTTTTTGAAGAAAAAGTGTGTCTTATAGTCCGTAAAATAAGGTATATGATAATGAGCTATTATAGAGGAATATCTTCAAGTTCTGGTAAAGTGTTCTACAAGAAATCTCAATAAACTTGTGCAGTCAAATATGGTGGTAGGAAGTGTTGCCCAATTGGTAGTCTCCAACTAAAAAGAAATTTGCTGTGAATGAGTTGGCTGGTTAGGAGTGTGAAAATTTTCCGTTGCCATAGCCTCTTAATTTTTGTTTTCAACCCTAAGTTGCTTCAATAAAAAAATTTATATTTCATTAATGTCTATCACCCCTTAAATTTATGGAACATCAAATATTAACATCCTATATAGTTCATTTCACCATTCAAATAAAAAAATCTTTTCATGCAAAGTTTTATTTTGTTTTAATAACTATTGTTTATAGGTAATAGGTGTCATTGAAAACTAATTAACATTCAAATATATCTGATTTGAAAGTTGAAAATAAAACATAAGCTAAAAACTATACAGTATAGCTTTAAAAACATCATTTTGAGATTACATTCATTTATAAAATATACCATATTTAGTCATGCACACTTTTTCCAAAAATTTATGGCAAAAAGTTGGGAGTCCATGATTTATTTGCAACAAATTTGGTGATGCAACCCATGGAGTCCAGGGTGGTTTCAGTTACTAAGCTTTCTGTTTATTATGCTAGTGATAAATTTTGCTTATCAACTGAATGACTTTGCTTAATATAATGACCATCTATAGTCAGTAGTTACAAGCAACATTATTAAATGTTTTGATGTGATTAAATTTGAAAAAATGAGGATAAACAGAGTATTTAAATGTACAATTCAAACTGACAGTAAATAATATTTATACCTATATTAGATTTTAATTTAAACTATTGGCCAATTACCAATTTTTCATCTTCAATTCAAATTAAATAATGTAAAGAACTCTTACTTTCAGTTAATTAGTAAATTAATTCATTATACAGTGGAACCTCGGTATACGACCTTAATCCGTTCCTAGTATTTGGACTTATACCGAATAGGACGTATACCAAACCAACCTTTTCCATAAGAAGTAATGTAAAAATAATTAATCCGTTCTCATGTAAAAAAAAATGGTTGGCTTTAAACACTTTGCTTTCCTTGCTAGTTTCTGCTTGATTTTTTATGAGATCAGCATGTATCCTTTTAGCTTTCTTGCAAATAATTTCTTCTGATACTCTGTCACCAGCACACTGTTTTTCAGTTATCCAAAGCAAAAGCAATTTCTCAACATGATCTAATGTCTTTGATCTCTGTTTAGAAATTGATTTAACCCCTTTCGCAACGTTAGCAGATTTAATAATGTCTTTATTTTTCACGATTGTTGATATCGTTGTCCTCAGAATACAGTATGCAACAGTTAAATCTCGAACATGCATGCCACCTTCATATTTCTCAACAATCTCTTTTTTCAGTTCCATTGTGATTCTAGTAATTTTTTTTATTTTTCTGTTGCTTTTCATTTGCCTTTTTGCAATTCATGATTAATAAAAATAATAAAATTTTACTTAAAATTTAAAATCAGAAGAAATTTAACAAAATTATAAACCGTGGCACTGTGAACGTCTAGTCTGGTCTAGTACACCAATAGTGCTACTTGTTCATAGATAGCGCGTATAATTGAATTAAGTTGTGTACCGAACAAAAGTCGTATACTGAGCAAAATTTGTTTCATCCAAACAGGACGTATTCCAAATTGGACGTATTCTAAAGCAGATGTATACCGAGGTTCCACTGTCAAGTAAAATACATTACTGAAATTGCAGATATTTGTACATGTGATACAGATAATTTAAATTATTTTTTCCTCAGTATTTTTATCTTTTAATATGAAACGGTTTTGTAAATGAGTGCTGCCATATTGAATGATACAAAATAGTGAGAATAAAGGTTGCTGTTGTGTTACAATCATAAATTTGTTAAATATGTGATTAAAAAAATTAAATTTATCAAGTTTTTTCTAACCAGTATATTAAAAAAAATGGTGTGTGGATCACTCAAGTAAATATGGTACTAAATTTCTGTATGACTAATATTATAAACTGGTCATACTTCAGTTTAATGCCAAATTTGTTCATCTTTGATTAATTGGGATGAAATTAAGTGTGATGCAAAACAAAGTACAATAATTTTGCATAGATAAGCCCAGGTAAACTAAGGCAGGTTATATTGTGTACCAGCATACACTCTACAAAAATTTCCAGAACAAAAATAAAATTTAATAACCTGCATCATTTCAAGCTCTATTTCTCCAAAATGGTTGTTGAAAATATGACACAGTAATATACAGTTCAGAAGATATAATCTCAATTATTGTTTTTCCTCTCTATTTCTTTCATTTCTTTTTCATTAACAGTTCATTGAGGGGTAATTTTAAAATAAGTGAAATGAAATATTTGAGACTGTACCTCCTAATTTACATAAGTGTTAAAAGCACAAATGGTTGCTGAATGATAAATGAAGAAAAATGACGATACATTACTTGATAAAAGAAACTAATTTTTTAAATTAGTTTCTTTTATCAAGCCACAAAAACCAAATAACCAGCAGAAATAAGATGATAGAGCTAATGTTTTTGCCCATGTTGAATGTGCATCATCAGGCTAAATAAATCTACAACAGTTAAAACAATGGGAATGCTGTACAGTGTGAAGAGGGGAGATGACATAAGAAAGAAAGCCCAATGAAAATTTTTTAAAATAAAATATATAATGAAAATAATAAATACTAAAATTAAATAGAAAAATTTTAATGTCAATACTAACAAGTTCAAGAATTACTTGTTTAGCTTTTATTTGATGCATAGAACTAACATACAATAAAATCAACTAGATTCTAAATAGTTATCTGACAAGGGGACCTTACGGTCTTGGAAATTCAGTTCAGAATGAGACTTTGCAGGTTAGTAGTATACCTCAAGGGTGTCCACCCAGAAGAATTGTAAAGCGCACTGGCCAGAAGATTCCGAGAAAAAAGGCTCTAAAGTTTTAAGCAAAGCTCATATACTGATCGATTTTACACTATGGTAGCACAGCGAAATGGCTGAATCTGTAGCGAACTCACTTGTCACGCAGGTGATCTAGGTTTGATCCTACCTTCGGCGAACTTTTTTTTTTAATTGTTTTAAAAATTGTAACAACTTTTAAATAAAGTTAATGACCTAAAAATATTATCAATTAAATCGAAATAATTTTATTTTATTTATGAAATGACTGTTACAGCAAGATAATATTTTATTTTTAAAAAGTTGAATAATTTCA